TTTTTTCCAACAAGGACCATGAATCAGATTCTGATTCTGAAGGCAATGTTGCTCGTTTCCAGTTTCATGTTTAAAATGAAGAGATCATTTCCCAGTAGGTTCAGGGATAGTTTGGTCGCCCGTTCTTGCTTCGAGGCTGATCAATCGTCAGATTGAAGACAACAAGAAGTACGAAGTGAGCGTGCAGGATGAGAATGGAGCAACTTGCCGCCCTGAAGGTGGAGCAGCCATTACCTGCTCAGAGACTCACAAGTGCTGCACCTCCAAGCGTTCTTATTTGGCAGGTTCATCGCACGACTCCCAGCCAAGACTTGCACTTTATGCCATTTGCTGTCCCTTGGACACGCACTGCAAGTTCGACACCATCTTCGTGTCGTGTGCGGCAGGCGTGGGTCCTGATGACTACTCCGGAGTGATTGCCGGCTGAACAGCATCATTTGAATTTTTGCCTTTGCCCTAGCTCAAGTCTAGGCGGGCAGCTGTTCAAGACTGAACTTGTGAGTGAAAGGCCGAAGGGCATGGCAGAGGAAGCTTTGGTCGTGCCCTGCAATTTCTTGTAACCTTTTGCGCTGCCTACAAGCTTTGGTCAACTGGTCATGATGCAAACTTTGGTTTGCATTCTCTATACATAATTGTAATACTGTAATGCTTTTGCCACGGGCATTGAGCATTGCTGCAAAGTTTGGAGCTGTGTATTGGCCTCAGGTGATGAAGGAAATTCCTCGCTTCCTCTTTGCTGGCAATCCTGTGAGGATTTCTATTCTTCCTGCAAGTATGAGGCCACAATGTTTGGGAGTTTGTGACGCGTGTCAAGAAGCTTTTGATGGTGGGAGTCGGTTTCAAATGCGTTAGTGACGGAGTGGCAGTCAGTTAACCTCCGGCACTTACAGGCTTTGTACCTCGGGGCTGCTTTGGCCTGCTCATTTTGCAGGTCGGCTCTGAGTCCAAAACCTCACCAAAGCGGTTGACTTCCCAATCACCGGTTGTCCATTCTCTTGGCCTCCAACCTACTAATAATGGCCTCCAACCTAGTAGCGATGGCCTCCTAATAACTGGTAGTCCATTCTTTTCATTTTGTGTGGTCAACTGGTCAACCTGTCCCCGGCCCATTTGACCAATGCGTCCAAGTGACCCGTGTTCTTCGATTCCACCGCTGCCAGGCTGCGTCCGATGGCCTTTTTGACCCCTGCCGTATCTTGGCGAAAACGTCTAAAGGCTGAGAACATTGGATAATCTTGGGCATTCTTAAAGGGTGGCAGTGGCAGAGAGGAGTCTTGTGACCAGGTTTGATGAGCTTTGGTGACCCGTGTTCCATTTAATCCCAAGTTGGATTCCGCCTGTGTTTCTGATCTCGGCCCTCCGGACCTTTCTTTTCCCGCTAGGCACAACCTTTACCAGCGGGTTCGGAAATGCCTCCGAAATAAGACGGATTTGTTTGGCTTGCAGTTCGATCCATGAATTAGGCATTCTCGGCTACGCAGCTACTTGTCGATGTAATTCACACGATCCAACTGTGTGGTTTTGTGCATGTTTTTGGTACATATCTTCTGTTGTACATTTTCTCCTCACGTACCCCCCGTAGGGGAAGGGCATTGAGGTGCGACACGGACATGTGCGCAAGGTGTGTGTGTGTGTGTGTCAACGCCTGTTTCCAAGGATTTCACTCTACCCTTTACGACTGTTTTAATCCTTGTGCCTTTGGACACTTCTCAACGAGACTATACTTTACAGCAGCAGGGGGATCAGGGACGTTTGGCTTGGCCGGATCCAACGAAGCTCCAGCCATTCGTCAGGATATTCCCGAGGGACGCCTTGGGAACGTACCTGCGTAAAATTGAACTGTTTTCAAGCTGTCCACTGCGGTTTTGTGCACTAATCGTCTAATGAGCTGAGCGAAACCTTGTTCAAACACCTTCAAATGAACGGACTTTTTCACCTTGCGGTTCTTGCGCCATTCAGTTCATTCAAGTCAAGTGGGACTTCGTACTGATCCTAGCTCTGCGAGCAACAATCTGAATGTGTGTGTGTGATGTGTGTTTTTGTTTTTTGTGCCGCGTTCTGCCCGCGGCTTGCCGTGGTTGAGCTTCTGGAGTCAAAAGTGAGTCCCCTTCCGGTGCACGACGGGGTTCTGTTGCTGAAGAATGCTGGTAAGCTTGGAGTTGGACCTGATGAGACCAGAGCCCCTGGGAGACACATTGTGATATCCGACAGCATGCAAACCCATCACCGCACGCAACATAAGCCAGAAAAAAGAATCTGATGACTCGATGATTGTGTTGTGTCAGGATCTGAAACCAGTAAAGTCACCAAATATGCATCCCCTACACAGCTGCTACCGTTGCCTAACCTACAAGAAGTCGTGCTACTTACTGATTGTTTTCCTAGTCGGCTAGCGGCATTGGGCGGAACCATCCTTCTCCTAGGTCCTAGTGTGCAAGATAGTAAATACACATGCAGCGCACACCCTCCCCAAGCCAAGGATTTCCTCTCCAAGCCAAGGATTTCCTCCCACGGATCGCGGAAGGGGTTTACACATATCAGAGGTTCCTGGAGTTTCTGACAACTTTAGACAGGTTTAAGCTCAGAGAGAGCCATTGGCCTCTCCCTAAACACTCTTAGGGAGGCCATCGCTAGACTGTTTAAGCTGTAAGTCATCGGAGCGACGGTCTTCACCGCAGGTGACATGCGTGTCTCCACCGACGGTCTCTTTATGTCGATGGCGCCTGGGCGCGATCAGTTGCTTGGCATCTCAAACGGAGCGTCGGTTAATGCACCGATGAAGAACAAAATCAGAAGGCTTCCAATGCAGACCCCATTTTTGCATCCTTAAAAAGCATATGTCTTTATATACCATATATTTGATCATTCAGGGTTTGGTGTGTGAAGACTGGACGAGATTGATTGTGCGGGTTCTGGGTGTGTTCCTTTTCAACGACCTGTTGACGGCATCGTCCACTGAGGGTTCTGGGTCAGGACCGCTGACTTGAAAGCGTACACCGGAGCCGGCGCTGGATGTGTCCGTTTGTGCACTTGTGAGATCAGATCATTTCTCACAAGTCACCGTGGCCAAGACGAAGATTTACTGACGCATTAGGCAAGCAAGAAGCACACTGAAATCTTTGCAGGACAATGTCACCTGTGAGAATGCTGCTGGTGGTGGCGTTGGGGTAGAGGAGCCCCAAACGAAGAAGCGTATTGAATGGTCAAGAAATTTAAACCCTAGTGGCCAGTTTCAATCGATGCATGCATACGTCGCTGTTATGTGCCTCGTTAGAGTATCTCGGGCCGTGTGCACTTTCTTCGCCCTTTTGACCTTCAGAATTTCAGATCATTCGACTTCTCACTGTGTTCGAGCATTGCAGTTTACAATATTTGTTCAGGACACTAGGAGCATGTCCCCTTTTTTGTCTTGATATGATGACCATTAACCATGCCGCAGGCAAGATTGCGAGGAGACATGTGGCTTCTAACTCCTCCAGGCTGCAATTATCAGAACTGTGTCAAACCATTCGGCAACTCCTGAAAAAAGCGTGAAGGGCATGTCCATCCATTCAATCTCATGTTCATGTTCAACTATTGCATACTATTGCATAATGCTGCTATTGAAGCACCTGAGAGTCTTTTATCGTGAGGTTTAGTGGCATTATGAGGAACACCTATCCCTGTCAGAGATGATCAACTGGCACAACTCAGTACACGCACTTTCTGAGACCTTCTGCGTGTACTTGGCAGGCATCGCTGTTTCAGTGCTTGTTTTGGTACTCCTGTTGATATTGGCATACTTTCTGTTGGTGCCGTACTTTGGATGCATTCGGGGGATGGGTTTGCTCTGACGGGAATGCAGAAACACACCACTTAGATTGCATTTGACTGAACGAGTGACTGAAGTAATTGAAGGGGTATTTTGCATGCATGTCATCATCTACTTAAATATGGAAACAGGGATTCGGCAGCCGGGATGAACCAAATAAGACGCTGCCAGCTACAGTAGTTTATCTTGAGTTGGAGACTCCCGGACTCCTCAAAGGTTTCTTTAGAGATACCGATTCGTAGCTGGTAGACCGCCTGCCAAAATCGCTTTGGAAGCAATGTTTGAGGATGGTTGATTAAGCGAAGACTTTGTTCTGAAAGGTCATTCCTCTCCTGTGACAAACAACACTCACTGCCTCGGGAGAAAGGTATGGACTTCGGACTTACATTGCCTGGTCGCTGCGCCAGCTGATCCTGGTCCCTTTGTCATTGTTCAGGACAAACTGGCAGGGAAAGCTGAGACGCTGTTTTTGTTGAAGTCACAAGTTTCATTTTTTTGCGGACCTCTTCAGCAAGCAAGTTCAGAGAAGCAATCGACCAGCTGAGCACAGGTCTCTCACGCTTGCTGAGAACAAAAGGGTTGGATTGACAGTGCTTCGACAGGAGACTACCTCCGCTGAAAGGCAGAAGATAATCGCACGTTTAGTTTTAGGTTGCCTGGGGTGGTTTTGTGTTGGTCATGAGTCGTGCAATGGGTATGAATTCGTACTTTGCCCAATGAGGTCATTCCGAGTTAGGTTGAATACAAGAATGCATTGGCCATGCTGACGATTAAAAAGTATTAGCTGGACATATAAATATTTAGGCCAACCCTTTTGCAGGAGGTCCTTTAAGGAAATTGTGGGAATTGCAATTCGAAGCAAGACCATGCGACTCCGGGAACTTGAGCACCAATCACTTTACAAAGGCGCTAGGTGATTTTCACGAAAGTCCCGACTCATCTAGAGCTTGCATGTGATTGCTTTGCAGGCTCAAAAGTCTTGGTAATTACAAAGACAGGGGCATAATTGCCGCCTGTGGCACAAGTTCAGACGGCATGAATGAGCCACTCAATTTGTCTAGTGGGAGTCGGATGAGTCGGGTTGATTATCTTGAACCACTGAACATGACCTCAAGAATGGTCATGCAGCACCTAATTTAGCAATCCCAGTCATTGAATTGTACATGTTTCCCCATAGCTACCCTTTGCAGGCTTGCCCTGCATGGGAATCTTCATTGCCATGTTCTTCGTATTTGTCATCTTTGGTATTTACTGGATGCTTGGATGTCTCCGTGCTATTTTTGACTGACTGTCGTTTGTGTTCGGGCATCAGTGTGACATTACTAACTCCACACGAAACCCTGCAATTTCCTGCCGCCTTCTGAGCCAATAATTTGGCACGGATCTTTCAAGTTGTTACAGCTGGTAGTGTCGGAAGCATGTTTGATTCTCAATTTGGTGAAAGTGTGGATTGCAGAAGCACCGTTACTGTGTTGATTCCTTCTACTTTGAGTAACCCGCTTTTTACGCTTTGTGCTTTGTTAGTGAACAGCGGGTACTCATTGTAGGTGGCTGAGCTGAGTGTTTTTCTCATTTGGGACGCCGGCCACCTCAATGATTTTTAACTCCTATGGTCTACTGGTCTATCCTATCTGTGTTTTGTATCATGCCAGGTTGACAAAAATTGAAACCAAACTTCACAATCAAACAAACATGGGCTATCAAAATTCAGCTGGG